GGACGTAGTGCACGGTCCATATCCGCTTTCCTTCCCGAAGTTCAGTGATGAAGTTGAGGCGGGAGCCCTGGGTTCGACTCCCGGCGTCCGAATGAGTGTGTTCTCTTTTCCCTTTTTGAAAAATCCTTTCAACAGGGATAAGCACCCGAATGGCGCATCGTTATTTCTAGTAGTTCATCGACTCCTCCACAGACTCAGTACCTGCACGTCTATTCTTCGGTGGGTACACCCCGTCCAACTACCCGACCCCGTAGCTCTTAACACCAAATTTCTCTCGAGTCTTGTAGTATTCGAGGCTGTAAGATGATTCCCCGGCGAGCGTGTCGAATATCAAGAATGAAAAAAAGAAAAAGGTTATAGAGCAAACCGCACAAAGGTCTAGATCTAGGGGATTCGAACCCCCGCCGAGCACAGACTTCATGAAGTAATCAACCAATGAAAGGTGCCCAGTGCACCTGCAGACCGTATTACCCAGTGGTGGATGCTATATACGAAGCCTGATCAGCAAAGATGTATGTACTCGCGGACAGGCGTAAAAACAAATAAATAAGAGGTCTAAGGGGATTCAAACGCCCGCCGAGCACATGCATGAGATACTACGTGCATGAAAGGTGCCCGGTGCACCTGCAGACCGTATCCGCTTGCGTTGGATGCTCTATACGAAGCTGCGTCAGCACAGATGTACTCAGCACCAGGTATTAAAAAGCTCAAGCAAACCGCAGCGGACCAGAGGTCTAGGTGCCCAGTGCGCCTCCCGACCTTATTAGCCTGAATTTTCAGATTTATTCGAGAGATGGTTCTTTTTCTGCGGTAATGATGGACCCAAGGAGGAGCAGAGGTAGCCTGCCCCTGCATACGGATGATCGGACAGAGGGCGTCTTGATTTTTGTTCTGGTTTGCAAAAGCGCTTGAAAGAAAGCGAAAAGTTTGATAGCGAGCAGGCAGAACGAATGCGCCGCGTTGGCGTCGCAAAACCTTCGTTTAAGTAGTAGCAATGCGGAGGAAGAGTGGCTGTGAAGTGGCGGTGAAGTGGCGGTGTTGATCGGGGCAGTATAACTTTCTTCCCTCTTCCTCGTCGTGGCCAGGCAGTTTTAATCTTGAAATTTGGAGTACGAAGACCTCCCGATCGGCGTCATATAAGAACTACGGCTAGGCGCACTGACTCGGGTTGAATCGATGGCACGGCACGTGGAGCCAGCTTTAAAAAGCTTCCACTATGGGTCCGTCTTTCTTTACCCTTGCCACAACTCTCCTGCTACTGAACCCAAGCTGAAGAGCCAATGACGGAATACGACTACTCGCCGGAGGCCTACCAGCGACACTTTGAGACGCAGGCCCGCATTGCACGGTGGGCACAGGCGACCCACCAGGTGCCCCAGAAGGACCCCTTCGCCCCGCCGACGCCCGCCAACGGCCCGGCCCCGCTGCCGAGGGTGACGGGTCAGAGTAGCCGGTGGACTCGCTCGTCCGACCGCGACCGTGAAAGGGAAAGGGACCGGGGGAGGCGGCGCTCGCCACCCCCGCCGATGCCGCTGCCGCCGAGACACAGAGACGGCCTGCCGCGCCCGCATACTGCCCCGCCGCAGCAGCTGTACCCCGCCATCGTGCAGCCGTACTACCCCGCCGCACCTCCTCCGCCACCCCCGCAAACGCAGAATCAGCACCGCCGCGCGCGCTCCTCCTCGCAGACCCCCGCCGCGCCTCCCCTGCAGCCGGCGCGCTCGCGGAGTTACTCGGTGGCACCGCACCCTCACCCCGCGCCAACGCCCGCGCGCGGGATGTCCTACCCCCCACCCACTGCTAAATACCCGCCACTCCCGTCGGGGTACGTCGACGCCCAGCCCCAACCGCAGTATGCCCAGCCCGCCCCAGTGTATGCACGGTACGCACAACCGCAGCCAATGCGGAGCCCGACGCGAGAGGTACCGCTGCTGAAGCGTATGTTTGGGTTCGGTGGCGGCGGGGGGAAGGGCCTGAGCCGGGAGAGCAGTCGGAGTCGGGAGGGATCGGGTGGAAGGAGGACGCCGAGGCGGCAGGAGACATATTGAATGGAAGGTGGGCGCAGCGCCGCTTCACGTTACACGCGGCGCCCGTGTGCCCCTTCCTCGCCTCCTCTTCGGGCCCTCCTTGGCACAACCGCCTCCTCACATTCTCCATCCGGCGTACCTGCCATCATTACCCCGATTGCACGCCGCCGCCCCAGCGTATTACGCCGCATCGCGTCTCGCCACCGCGCCTCTCCGCCGACCCTCTCCAATCACCAAACCGCTATTCTCGCCCTTATCGCGGACGCTGCCGCCGCAACGTCCTTCTGCGCGTACCTACACATCTATACATCCTCCCGCCTACATACATCTCTCCTCTCCTCTCCTCCGCTACATCCCGCGATCTCCAATCGCACATCAATTCCTCCACCCTACACATCCCATCGTATACCCATCCCCGTACATACATAGCCCTCCATATCGAATCTACACAACTGTATCTCGTACCCGTCTTGTCGGACTTGTATGTACATATATAACCTCATCAAGTTGAATGAACGAGTGAATGAATGCTATGTCCATGCAACGCCCGACGCATAGCATCTCATTTGGAGCTCAACATACAAATATGTACGCAGCTCGTAATTCCTGACATTCATTAGACTAAATTATCTCTTCCCCTGGTTGCGGCCACTGCTGATTTTCGCTCCACTTATTCAGGTGCACAACCAAGCTAAGGACTCGGATGTGGTGCATGGTGCATGTCCGCTATCTCTGTTCCAGAATTGGGCCATGATGCGGGAGGCCTGGGTTCGACTCCCAGCATCCGAATAATCCAGTACTCTTGCCTTTTTCTCTCCATTTCCTTCTTTATAGCCGTGACCTTTTCGTTTATTTCCGGCGGCTGGGACAACTGAATTTATTTTCATCGCTGCAGCAGAGAGACGGAGGTGATGTCATGTTGAATTCAATTAATATTCTTCTGTTCAGATTCACGACAATTTCAATGCCAGGTATTCAGGTACGCAACAAGGCTAAGAACTCGGACGTGGTGCACGGTGCACGCCTGCTCTCCTTTCGGCATCTCCAAGTAAAGCTGTGATGCGGGAGCCCTGGGTTCGATTCCCAGCGTCTGAAATCATACTTGTAACAATCCTTTATTTCTTCCCTAAGTCTAAGCCGATAAGTAATCTTCGTAGCACTTCATCAGGTCCAGCAGGAGGCTAGAGATTCGGACGTGGTGCACGGTGCACGCCCGCTCTCTCTACTCCACGGCCATCCTCTGTAGGTGATGCGGGCGGCCTGGGTTCGACCCCCAGCGTCCGGATAATTCTTCGAGTATAAATCTTTTTCTCTTCATTCCCTTCTATATATGTAGCAGTGAGCTTTTCGTTTATCTCCGGCGGCTGGGACAACTCAATTTATTTTCTCCGCGTGCAGAGACGGAGGTGATGTCATGTTGAATTTCAATTCCTCTGTTCAAGTCCACGACAATTTAAGTGTCAGGTATTTAGGTATGCAACAAGGCCGATCGCGAGAAATCGGACGTGGTGCATGGTACACGTCCGCACTTATTAAAATGACACAGAAAGCTAGAGGCGGGAAACCTGGGTTCAATTCCCAACATCCGAATGCGCTTTGTGGAATGCCATCTCTTTTGTCTTCAAATTCAACTGTTAAGTTTTGTCTGATTTATTCAGGTACACGTCCAAGCTAGGAACTCGGACGTGGTGCACGGCGCACACACGCTCTTCCTAATAGCGCGGCACTCGATTTGGAGGCGGGAGCCCTGGGTTCGACTCCCAGCGTCCGAATAGCATCGCTTGGACTTTCTTTTGTTCTTCAAGTTTCAACTACTAGTTTTAGAATCTCCTCTTATAAAGAAGGAGGAGAGGAACTCGCACGTGGTGCACGGTGCACGCCCGCTCGGTTTAAACTTGAGTGTTCTGATCTCGATCTTTTGAGGCGGGAGCCCTGGGTTCGACTCCCAGCTAGTGTTGCCGCGACTCCAAAAGTCGAGTCGCGACTTGGTAAAATGACTCCGTGCCAAGTTTGACTCGACTCAACTCGACTCGACCCACCTTAAGTCACTTGGAGTTGCTCAAGTCGACTCGAGTCGGTCAAGTTGGGGAGTTTTTTTTCGGATAGAGTGGAATCACCACCAGCACCAAACCAGTACAGGAATCTTGGGAACAATTAAATCATGTGGCAGGAAACGATGAAATGTGTTTAATTTGCAATCACAGCAGGTTCCTGAGGGTATTTCATGGGTAAGATGGTTCAATATTCCTATATGTAGTGTGCAAGATATTTTCTATATTTTTCTGGATTTAATGAGCCTCCAAAACTGGATAGAAACGCAAAACAAACGCGGCGGTGACTTGGTCGTGACACGCGTCACATTACGTCACAGCTGTGACATTCGGTCCAACAAAAAATGAAAATTGCTCCAATCGCGCCTACCAATGTAGAGACACATTTTTAAAAAAAAGCTCGACTCAAGTCACTCAAGTCACTCCAAGTCGACTCGCATGGACTCCGAGGTCGCAAGGGAGTCATCAAATAACTTGACTTAACTCGGCTCAAGTCGACTCTCGGAAGTCGACTTGAGGGGGTCAAGTCGGAAGTCGCAGCAACATTACTCCCAGCGTCCGAATAGCTGGGCATCGGTTTGTTTATTTTTCTTCGAACTACGACTTTCATCACATTTATCCAGGTGTGGAAAGGGAATAGGAATCGAACTTGGTGCACGGTGCACACCCGCGCTCTTATTACTAAGACTAGTTCATGATCCAGGCGGGAGACCTGGGTTCGACTCCCAGTGTCCGAATACAACTCTTCTTTTTTTGGGGGGTTGTGATTGGCATGACGATGGACCTGCGCTTCAGTAATTTTTTAGAGCGGGCATTGAGGGTGATTCGAACCTCGTGAGAATGCACAATTTATTTTCCTTCTACTTCACGGGTTCATGCTGACTTTCCTCCCACTTATCCAGGCGTGGAAAGGGAATAAGAATCGGACGTGGTGCACGGTGCACACCCGTTCCCCTTTAGAACTCATGCTTGTAAACAGCGGGAGCCCTGGGTTCGACTCCCAGCGTCCGAATGTCCAAAATTGTATTTGCCTTTTTTCCTTCTTGGGTCAGCCTTCCGGTCCATTGCAATGCACTTCCTCCGATTCCATCTGGGTGCGGCATTTGTTTCAGGCTCTTTACGTACTTTATTTCCAGTTCTTTCCTTCGGCCTTGCATGGCTCACGCTGATAATATTTAGCTCATGTATTCAGGGACACATGAAGGAAAGGAAGTCGGACGTGGTGCACGGCGCACACCTGCTCTCCTTGACGGCCCGGAATTCTCAGTGGACAAGCGGGAGCTGGGTTCGACTCCCAGCGTCCGAATGACTCGCCGGAGTTGCTTTTTGTGCTGTCCTGACTCTGCTCGCTCTTCTGACTTTGAATTAACACTTTTATCTGTTCAATTCACGATGGAATTTTCGTAAGCATTGAGCCAGGTACGCAGTTCAACGAGCTCCTCGTGGGTGCGGACATCGCTCTGGACCGTCGTATTTCGGTGGATGAGGGCGGTATCTCCAGTCTCGATATTCAATCCTGATGCCTACTCTCATCATCAATACGCGAGAGGGAAGACCTAAATGCAGTGCAGGGCTGGAACAACACGTACCAGATTCTGTGCAATTTCGCCCATGACGTCTCGTGCATCCTCGTCGACATTTGGCTTTTTCGCCGGAGGAACGCCGAGGATGCTGATCTCACGCTGATGAACCGGGAGCGGGATAAATTGGATCCCAAGATTCGCGAACGATTCCTACATTCGACATTCAGCATAAGTATGATGAATCGAGCGCTGGCAATGGGCACACATCATCGGTGTGCTCGCCTCCCGTAAACATGATGTGCAGGTGCTCACACTTCGGCGGGCAAAGGGCGAGTGCCACTGAGAGTCGCTGCACCGCCGTTTTGAGCTCCTAAGAACTGGATAAATTTGATGGCCATTTCACTTCTTTCCTTCATGATGACGTCCTCGCGTGAGGCGGAGAGGTCAAACTTCCCCAGATCGGATTCGACCGAGTCAGCCCCCGCATAACTACTGAAGCCTAGCAATTCGGAGGGAGAGTGGTATTAAATCAGCGAAGTGAGTGTCGAATGGGGGAACAGAAGAGCGATGGTATAAGGAGTTTTTACGCCAGACTCGATTGAGAAGAACACTCGCTTGCATAGCCTTTGGAGCGGTGACCATATTCAAAGGTTGTGCATCTAACAAGTGACAAAAGCAAAGCAAACACAAACTCGCGCTAAGAAGGCGTGTCACCAGAGTGGAGTGAAGCCCAACAACCACTCTGGTTATTAGTTGAGAGAGCGGGATTGAATTGGCACAAATGAATTGAATAGCGGAAGATTGTTACAGGGGGGTTACGAGACAAGTTCAAGTTTGTTTTTTCAGAAGCGAAATTAGATCGAAGCTCGGCGTTAGTTAGAGGGACCATCAGCGGCCAAGGAAGACTTACTGTTGGATAGTGATGACATTGAAGGTATTGGCTAACGCTATGATTATAGCGCACATCTGATTTACCTATGTTGATCATTCAATGTACACTACGACTACAGTAGAGACTTTTATCGGCATACCACATAGAACACTTTATCCTGCTTCTTATTCTAAGCGGAGCCATTTGTCTTCTAGGTTCATTATAAAATGGTTTAACAACTTGAACGGGATGAAAGATACTAACTAACCTGATAGATCTTGATCTTACTCAGAGTATCAGAAAGCGATTGGAATCTGGTGGATTTCGCAGAGTTGCCCTGCTTCTTGTATGTGCGAATGCGAACGAGAGTTTCCATGGTCCACAGGGTGTAAGGATGGGCTGGTCCCAAGACCTGTTTCTGCTTTTCAGTAGCTACCACTGCCAGCTCTTCTGCCTCATTTGATTTCCCTAGTTTGAGGTAAGTGTTGGCCAAGTTGCCCATGGTAAGCAGGGTGTCAGGATGGTCTTCCCCCAAGACCTGCTTCTGCCTCTTCATCACCATCTCCTCGAGTTCTTTTGCCTCCTTGAACTGTCCCAATTTCGAGTAGGTACTGGCCAGGTTCCCCATGGTCAGCAGGGTGTCAGGATGGCCTTCCCCCAAGACCTGCTTCTGCTTCTTTATCACTGTCACCTGAAGCTCTTTTGCCTCCTTGAACTGTCCTGAATTAGAGTAGGTACTGGCCAGGTTTCCCATAGTCAGCAGGGTGTCAGGATGGTCTTCCCCCAAGACCTGCTTCTGCTTCTTTATCACTGTCACCTGAAGCTCTTTTGCCTCTTTGAATTGTCCTGAATTCGAGTAGGTACTGGCTAGGTTCCCCATCGTCAGCAGGGTCTCATGATGGTCTTCCCCCAGGACCTTCTTCATTTTTCTTATGGCTGTCACCCCAATCTCTTCTGCTTCCTTTGGTCGTCCCAAATCAGAGTAAGTCCTGGCCAGGTTCCCCAGGGTCCGCAGGGTATGAGGATGATCTTCCCCTAAGACCTGCTTCATTTTTTTTATGGCTGTCACCCCAAGCTCTTCTGCTTCCTTTGCTCGTCCCAATCCTGGCAAAATATGGACCAGCTCAGCCATGGTCAGCAAGGTGTCTGGATGGTCCTCCCCCAGGGCCTTTTTGTTTGCCAGAAAATCAGAGTTTAGCCTTGTTGCCTTTTCAAGATCTGGGTGGCCCTCCTCAGGTTCTATGGAAGAACCCTCGGACACTTTGTCAGGTTTCCCACTTGTATTTCTTCCATACTGTGCAGCCTGAGGAATGTCTCGGGGCATTTGTGAGATCATATCCACAATTTTATCATGGATTTCTCCTGCTGTTGGCCGTTCCTTGGCACTCTGGAGCCAGCATAGTTCTGCCAAGTTCCAGAGAGGATCTATCAGCCTGGGGACATCATTGATATCTGGGCGAGTTGGCCTGACTCCGAGTCGGAATACCAGCTCGATGAAATCTGTATGTGACACAGTGGCCAGCGGGGTTTCATCAGTGTACAGCTATTTTTATAGGATTTCAATGTTGAACACAAAAAGTAGTGAAGACAGTTTCACCTCATACATTGTCATGCCAAATGCATAGATATCTGATGGCATTTTGGGCAGTGAGCCTGCAAGGAGCTCAGGAGCCATCCAGCTTCGGCTCCCTGCCAACACAGTCTCAGGTTCAGCTGTGCGAGTGGTGATATCGGCCTTGACTCGAGAAAGACCAAAATCACACAAAAGTGACCTCCCGGAATCTTCAACAAGAATATTGATCTGAATTGATTGATATTGAGGGAAAAGAACCGAAATTCTCCTCGTCTACTCACCCCTTTTATGTCCCCATGGCAGATCTTGCGTGAATGAAGATATTGCAGACCGAGGGATATATCACGGAGCTACCTCATGTCATCGACAGGTTGCATGGTTAAACGAATGAAACTTACGATATACACAGGATCAAAATCAGGGTGCTTCTTGAGAAATTGTCTCGCATTATTGGGGATGTATGGCATCACAATAAATGGTGTATCATCCAAGGTATTTGCACCAAGGAATTGAAGGATATTTGGATGGCGAAGGGTCAACCAGATCTGTCAAATGATATAGACTTCATACACAGAGTTCAAAATGGACACAAACATTGATTTCTTGTCGCAAGAGCTAAAATCAAATGATTGGCCAAAATAAGACTTGAATGTGTTTAGATCCTTACAACAAGACTGGAAGTAGCACCTGCAACACTGTGCAGTACTTTGATGGCCACGTCCGTTCGATTCCAAGTACCCCGGTATACCTTGCCACTGTATAATAATCAGGACAGTGAAGATATCTCGAAAAGATCAGAACTCACAATCCCCCAACCCCAATTTCGGTGCCAAAATCAACATCAAAGGATACAATCATCCAGTCCTCCAGCTTGACTTGTTGGCCGCTCATTGAGGTCAGGTATTGAAGTGTGTGTGAATAGAACTTCTTTTCTGGGGGATTGATCTGCTGCTGGCCGTCAAGCCTTCTTTGAATGCAAGCCATCATCGCAATCATATTGTCTTGTTTGATCTCTGGGAGACAGCATCTTTCAATTCATAATTAACGAGCACAATGCAGTTGACGGACCAAGTGTTTCTTGCAAATAAACTTGATTCTGCTCAAGAGCTTTCAAGCGGGCATTCAAGACGTTCATGTCATCATTCCGCGCCAGCTCGTTCTTTCCTAGCATACTCTGAATACTCAGCAGTCCAGATATCTAGTGAAATGACCAGCCCATTCATACCACCGAAATTTAGGATCCGCACCTGAAACGCGTTGACAGACATCCCGATGCGGCGATAGAATGCCTCAATGCTAGCGATTCGGGAATCCTTGGTTAAAAGAGACTTGAAGAAGCCCTTGCTTTGCTCCTTGCGAACAAATCGGTGGATATCTTCGAGTAGGCTGGTTTAGATCGTAGTTAGCCTCAAAATCTCCCCCAAGACCCCATGCTCACATCTTCAGCTCTGCGAGTTGTCCTCTACAATTGGCCACAATCAGCCTTGACGACTTGAACTCCGAGTCCAATGTGGTCAAAAGCTGGCCGACCGCCACGGCCAGAACCTCGAGCTGTTTTTTGCTTTGGTGAAAATCCTGCGCAGAAGAGGCGATGAATTTGAGCAGAGTGAATGCCGCAGCGAGTGCGGGCACCGGAATAACCCCGAGCACAGCTTCTAGAGACATGGTGGAAGTAAGAGACAGATGACTGTGGTCCTAGAATCAGCCGTCGTCAGTACATCATGACAACGATCTTGATTCCGTTCCCGTCTCTAGACGCTCTAGACGGATCAGAATATCACAATCAAGTTGCAATCATTTTTGCAAGCGAGCGATGGAAGCATCGGATCCAATCTTGCGTTTTGAATATAGAAAAAAATGCATTGGTGGGCGGTGGCTACATGTAATATACGTTGTAACTAATGCCCAGAACGACTAGCAAAACTTCTAGGATGTACTGATGCTTTATAGCCCTCAAAGATGAAATCGTGGGAATGGACTTACACATCAGGCGTCGGAGAAGGAAAATCGAAACGTACGCACTTGACAATGATTCCCAACATTAA